ATTAAAGCCCATATTTTTTTCTCTTCACACAACTTGCAGCATGTCCAGAGTTCATCTCATAGAAGATCTTACTGTAGAAAAGTTTCATGAATGTTTCAAAGACATGCAAGCTCATAGTATGTGCATCATGTGAGGACAGTAGACCTAAACATCCCTGGTAACAGCATATATACAGTTTATCTACCTCTCTTAAGAGTTCACCATCATTCATCATATCATTCACAAAGTCTGTGAAGGTATCCTACAAGAACAATCCAGTGATAGCTACTTACTATGTTTTTATCAAAAAGTCATGGGTGTTGTCAATTATTTGTTTACTGTATTTTGTAATTCAATTAAATAATGTGTATATTAATTTCATGCCAAATTGACCAACATGCAGCTCTGGTAATATACAGTAGAAATAGAAATTTCTTACACTTACTTTATAGGGATGTGTTTGTCTTTGTGAGACACTTAAGATTGTTTCCAAACATTTTAAAATTGAGATACGTTCTTCAAAATAAAATTCCATGACCTATAATAGTGCAATTATACTAACTGATATTGCATTTGTAAACATATGAAACGAGGCCCAAATCTTGTCTCAACTGAAAGAGTGTACATTCATGACATGGTGGAGATTTTTGTGAGCAGTTTAATAACCATAGGTAGCAGAACCTAGGGCTCATCCTTCCAACAAAAATGTAGAGAATAAGTGTAAGGGTAATTATATACTCAATATTCACAATTCCCTGTGAAAAGACATTATAGTTGTTATACATTATAGTTATAGAGCTAGATCTGGGAAGTGCAATTCCAGAGACTTTAGATTCAAAAAGAGAGCAGAATTGAAGGAGAGCAGAATGTTTCAAGTACTAAACCTCATGGCATCTGCTGGAGCTCCAGCAGCAGCTGGCTTAGTTTGAAAGTCCTGTTAATGGAGATGTTATGTGACAAGGAGTTCAAAGCTGGCCAGGAATGAAGCAATGTTTTGCAATTTCTTGCAAAATGTTTACCTTAATAAGTAAGGTTTCTGTGTTCATTTCATTCTTAAGGACATCCTACAGTACAAAGATAGAACATACAGCATATTTTATTTTGTTAAAAACTGAAGAATGGTAAAACAAGCAATGGACCATTTGCGTAATAGACTAAATTTTGATCTAGACAAAAATTTCATCACAGCTTGAAAGAGCATCACAAAATTAGTAATATTCCAAAGTTTCGTTGCGAAATGTTGTAAAATGCGGATAATATAG